TATATATATATATATATATACACACACACACATATATATACACACACATATATATACACACACATATATACACACACACACACACATATATATATATATATATACACACACACACACATACATATATATATATATATAGTGTCCCTAACTGACTCTCTCTTTGACCATGTAACACAAACTAAAGTCCAGTGGTTGGAATGTGGCAAGAATCAAACCAGATTTTTAGTGCTTTACAATTTAAGATGGGAACTTCTGAACAGCTGGCTGTCAAGTTTCCCTTACTAGCAACTGTTGTTATGTGCCATCAAGTTGACTACTCCTCACAGGAACCCAGTGAACAACAATCTGAACCTTGCTCTATCCTGTGCCAGCCTCACCATCTCCAAGATGGTCAACAAGCCCACTGTTGCAATCATTGTGTCACTCCATCTCCTTGAGGGTCTCTTCCTTTCTTTCTCTGACTCTTCACCTTTCCCAGCAGGTTATCTTTTGCCAAGGACTGGTTCCTTCTGACAGCATGTCCAAAGTATATGAGACGATGCCTTACGATCTTTGCTTGTAAGCAGCACTCTCTTGGTTGCACTTCCTTCAACATAGACTTGTTTGTTCTTTCGGCATTCCATGGATATTCAGTATTTAATATTACAATTCAAAGGCATCATTACTTCTGCAGTAATCCTTATTCATTGTCCAACTTTCAGACACATAGAAAACAACTGAAGATAGTATGGCTTGGATCAGGTGTATGGCTGATCCAAATGAAAATACCATGGCTAGAAATTAGGGAAGAAAAAAATACTGAAGCCAAAACTCAAGAGAGATGCAGATTAGAGTTTGGAGTCTTGATGATGTTTGAGTTATAAGTTCTAGTTAGTAGGAACATAGTCATGTCATTGCCCTTCCTGTGACCTCATCATTCAACGCTTCCATAAGATGGCGGAGAGTAAATTCTCCTTTTTGCTTATCTAGTTTGATGAGGACAGCACACAACCAGACAGTGTTTCATTTTCTTGTGCATAGCATTACTATGAGTCAAAGCAGACTGGAAGGCAACTAACAACAATAGATTGGGTTAAGACCAGGCAATGTTTCATTGTTAGTCATATATGGAGCCCTTATGAGTCAGAACCAACTCAATGTCACTTAGTAATAACAGTAATAGTATTATAATACTTAATAGTACATACTCGTAACAGTCTGAAGTCTCTTTTAGTTGCAAAAAGAATTCCAATATACCATTTCTCTTAAGCTTATCTTTTAAGACATGAATTCTACTACGTTATGGTTTAAACATTTTTAGAAGGTTTACCCAACAATAAGCTAAAATAACTGCCAAAGATTTTTAGTGTTATGAATGATTAACTTTAAGAAACTTCCTTTAAATAGAAATACCATTTGACTCAGCAATTCCACTACTGGGAATTTACCCTATAGAAACCAGAACTACCACCCGAGCAGATATTTGCACACCCATGTTTATCATGACTTTGTTCACAATAGCAAAGAGTTTGAAACAACCCAAGTACCTATCAACAAATTAATGTATACAGAAGCTGTGGTATAGTCACATAATGGAATACTATGCTGCATTGAAAAATAAGGAACTCATGAACTATTATACAAAATGGGTGATCCTGGAGGACATTATGCTGAGTGAAGTATCTCAGTCACAAAAGGACGGATACTGCATAGTGCCACTGTTGTAAGGCAGGACTGACACTGGGGTTGGGGGAAAACTAAGAGAGGATAAATAATGTGTACTACATTGAAACAGATGAGGGAGAGAACTGTTTAGAAGGAATATATGATTGGGCATTATTGTCCTGACAAAAGTCCAGAATGAAAGCTGCATAGTGAAGTGGACTGGACTGGAGGGGAGGGGGGTGTAACAATGAAAGAATTTTTTTTTTTACATCTCGAAAGGAAAAGCAAACTGGGGGAGAGGGGTGGACAGGGAGGAAAGTGTGAAGCAATGAATGAATGGAAATTCAAAGTCTCTGTAAACTTTCATTAAAATAAATTTTTAAGAAATCTTCATTTAAAAAAATACTAAAACAATAGCAACAAAAAAGAAAGAAACTTCCATTAACATAAACTGGGAATTTCCTTAATGCCAATAGATAATCTTTAGTAAATTCTCTGGATTTCCAAAAAAAACCTTAAATTAGATATGAGTGGCATCCACTTCCTAAACAACTTGCCTCCGGAAATTCTAAAAAACTTTGATAAATGTCGATAGTTATAGAAATGCTTCGGGCCTTTTGTTCATACAGTTGCTATAAGTTATGCTCGACTCAAAGGCAATAAACAACATCAACAATACTGACTCAATACTAGGTAAAAAAAATCTTCTCATAAGATTGTTGTTATATTGTGCTTTCTATTAACTTCCACAAACAATTTTTTTTTAAAGTCATTTACATTTATTGATCATTTACTAGATCTTGCTCCAAATTAAGTATTTTATGTCATTGGTTGAATTAGGTCTCCCAAGAACATTTTGAAGTGGGTACTATTATTATCTCCATGACAGGCTTCCTCCAGGATAGCTAGGATAAAAATGGGGGGAAATTTAAAACCTATTAGTTTCACCTTAACCAAGTTAAATTTTTTTCCCCTCCATATGGCCAAATAGTGAATTCTTATCTGTTGGAATTTTATTATATTTTTAAAAAATATTTTAAAGACTTTAAAAAAAAAAGACTTGAACTTAAAGCAAAAGCAATAAATAAAAGTGGCTTCTATTGACATTTACTCTGTAAAATACTAAAAATAATTAGCAATTTTTCTTGATTTCCTACATACTTTTAAGTTAGATTTTGCTATTCAAGTTTTTGCTATTCAAAACTAACTTCATTTTAGTCAAGTCAGGTGGCTATGTAGAAACTCTCCAAAATAATGATTACTAATTGGTACACCACCCAGTGTCTCTTTGGGTTGGTAGATGATTTCATAACTTCTGATTTGATGTTACGGGTTTTGTGGGGTTTTTTTGTTGTTTTTTCTTTTTCACACTTTGAAGACACAGCTCTGGGCCTTCTGAGGTGCTGCCCATCTGATAATTGTTGGCTTATACTGATTTTTGGTCAGACACACACACCATTACCACCACCAGTGCCTTGTGTGGGACACCCGCCCAGGGTGAATAGCCATGGAGAGTGGCTTTCAGGTGTTTCCAAGACTTTGCTCCTTGTTTTTCCCCAAAAGAAGACAAAGCCTCACATTGCCCTCAATGTCCCCTTTTATTTCCTTTGAAGGACCAATTTTTCATGCTACTTGTCCTGACTGTTTTCATACTGTTAAAATCTGTATTTTTCTATGTAGAGGGAAATTATTTTCTCAACACTAATCATAGTAAGTATAAATAAATTGTAAAAAAACCCTTGATTTTAAGACACAATTTTTACAGTTCTATATTATGTTCAAATAGATTCAAGAGCACTCAAGAAGTTTATGACCTTTCTTCTCTACTTTTTTTTATTATTAAATTTTATTAGTTTTAATGAACATTTACAGAGATTTTGGGTTTTCATTCATTCATTGTTGCAGTGTTTTCTCCACCCCCCTCCCCAGTTCGTTCTTCTTCCCCCGCCCCAATGTCGGGGGTTTTTTTATTATTAAATTTTATTAGTTTTAATGAACATTTACAGCGATTTTGGGTTTTCGTTCCTTCATTGCTGTACCTCTCTCTACCCTCCTCCCCAGTTTGTTCTTCTTCCCCCGCCATCCGAATGTCTGTTTTAATTGTCCAATTGCCACAGTGCTTGTCAAAGCCAGTTCTGATTAATCTCCTTTGTCAGTGTGTCCTTTGCCATTCCCTATCACTCCTCCCTGAGAGAGACTTCACCCTGATTCATAAGGAAAAGGGGATGGCATATTCTCTTAGCTACTTCCTGCTGAAAAGGGACGCTGTGGGTTTCAGGGTGAAGATCTTCTCTCACTACTCTAAAGGGCCCCTTTGGCAGGAGAAAACACATAGACTATTATGGAGATTGATTTTGCAATTTAGATGCACTGTTATCAATTGTGCTTAGCCGTACATGTTCATATCCTTGAAGATGTATCATGGAAGTGTTGCAGCCTAGAAGATACAAGTTTAACTAACAAGTTAAAAGTGCATGAGCCAAAAATTGAAAAGCAATAATATTCTGAGTAGAGGTTCTAATAGTGGCACAAATAAAGTTACAGAGGTAAGGTGGTTCCATTGCCATCCTTACTCTAACTTAATTATTTTTTTAAATTTAAATTTGTTATTAATTTCAGTGAAAATTTATAGAGGCTTTGGATTTCCATTCATTCATTGTTGTAGATTTGTCCCTTCCCAAGGCTCCCCATCACCAGACATTATCCTCTTGGAAAAATAAAAGAAAAGATTCTTTCATTATTTTACAAACCCTCCCCCAGGTCCACTCTACCATGTAGCCATTGCTCTAGACTCCTGTCATGACAGAAATACCTAATCACATATCTCTTTTAAACAGTTTTCTCCCTTCTCTGTTTCAGAGCAGCACACATTATTGAACCCATCTTACTCAGTCTCTCCCCCACTCCCATTCTACAACAGTGGCACCATGCAATATTTGTCCCTTTGTGACTGGGACATTTCACTCAGCATAATGTTCTCCAGAGTCAACCATTTTGAGTACTATTGCATGAGTTCCTTGTTTTTTAACACTTATCTACATATTTTTGTACAATTTTATCAATGAGAAATATAAATATTGGTTTTATATAAAATATAATTTTCATTTTTACAATTACCTATTAAGAAGAGTCTCTACTTCTTGAACTTCTGCTATGCAGTCTTCATTATCAGAAAGGAGACGAGCTTGAAATTTTCTATCTTGGAAATCGTACAGCATGACAATAATCAGACTGCTCAAATGATCTGGCTACCAAGGGGAAACACACAGAGAAAAACATAAAAAACAACATCTAATAGCAGTATTTTCTGTCCCATTATATTTCATAAAAAAGTAGGAATGTGATTACAAAGTCTGGTTGGGTTTGGAGACAGGGTTAAAATAGTTTATTTAAAAAAAAAAGCCAAATAAATTTTTAAAGAAGACAAATTTTTAATATGTTCAACAAAGTGAAAGGATCTTGGCAGAAAAAAAGTTGGGAAAATATTTTTTAAAAGTCTCAGTGTTAAGCCATGTAGCTACTATTTAAGTCTCAAAGTTTTAAAATACTTTCCAAATTATAATCATGAGACAAGCTAATTATGTAAAAATTGTCTACTTACTATTGTGGTACTTGGGAAGATATAACTGTCTATTAATATGCTTTCCAAAATATCTTGATCTGCAAGACAAGGAAGATGTCTGTTACTGGAAATATCAAAGTTAAAGATGAACGTTTTGGTGATAACTTGCACAGGAGGAGACTGCCAATTTTTCTCCCACAGAACAGCTAGTGGATTTGAACTGCATGTCTTTGGATTGGCACTACTAAGCCATCTGAGTTCAAGACGAAAGATCTGGAAGTAAATATAGTTTAAGTGAAAACATAATAGAATTTTATAAATAAAGTAAGTTAAAATTCTTCATAAAGACTTAAATGATAATTTTATGATAAAATACATGTGAATACTGGTCACTCATAGCCCTGACTCCATGGTGAGCCAAAGGAGGATTATTTAAATACTCAACATGAATAAGAAAGGAATTACAATCTTTACGTCTTTTGAAAACTATTAAACACCCAGTTTATAAGGTAGAACAACTTCTCATTTTCCTTTTCTTGTCCTCCCCAGTTCTCTCATGCCCATAATGCTCCACAGTTCCTCATTTGCCAAAATGTACCAGAACATTCTGGAAAAAGCCTTGTGAGCTTTTTCTCTTCTATTATCTCTTCTTCTTCTTCTTCTTCACTTTACCTTTTCAGCTTCTCCTAACCTTACTATCCCATTTGCCAATTCTGCTTCACAAAAGTACAACCAGAGACGGGTTAGAAACAGATTCTAGGGTTGGAGTGAAGGCAAGAGAAGACATGAAGAAGCCACAGGCCCATTTTTAAAAACTAATCACACACTACTATAAAAAGAGTTATATTCCATGTATGATCTTCTTGTAGTCAAGCCATCAAGTTGATTCTGATTTTCATATTTCACAGAGTAGAACTGTTCGTAGGATTTTCTTAGCTCAATGTAATGGGCCTTTTCTCCTATAGTGCTGCTGGGTGAGTTTGAACTGTCAAGTTTTTGGTGACAAGCTGAGAGGACCTCTTAAAGACCTTGCACATGGCCAAAATTATCAACGTCATCTTGTATGAGATATATAAAACTACAGAAAATTGGAGAAAATGACAAAAGTTGGCACATAAAATGGTAACACACAAGGATCCCCAGTTATTGTTTTCAAGTGCCACTGAGTCGACTTTACAACACTATGTACAACAAATTGAAGCCCTGTCCCATCTTATGCCAGCTTCACAATCTCCATCCACTGTGCTTAAGCCTACCATTGCTGTCACTGTGGCAATCCAGCTCACTGAGGGCACATATGCCCTCTTTTGCTGACCCTCTACTTTTTGAAGCCAGGTATCCTTTTTTTTTTTTTTT